CCGCCTGTGGATAGTTTGACTGTATACTATCACAGCTTTCGGATAATGTCGCGAAAAAGTTTTGGTAATCGGTGTTACTTGGCGGTCGGTAGAGGCAGCAGATAAACTTGGTCGATGACTTTGAGGTGAATTTTAGCCATATGATATCAAGGTTCGCTGGTTCTAGCTTCTCCTCTCGATGACATGAAAGGTCATTTTTAATGTACACACAGATCCCAAAATTATGTCGAAATCGGTGGTGTAGGTCATAGCCGGGATAAAGATAATTCACAATAGGTGTTGCAGAACTGATTTTAGTTTCAGTGAGAACAAGGATGTCAGGTCTTTGTTCTTCAAGATGTTGGTGAACTGAATTCATATTTGTACTTATTCCTCTTATATTGCTAAAATCAATTCTGAGTTGAGTTTTTGATCTTCTCTTTATATCTTTGCATGAAGGACCCCCAGGATCACCCGACGCCCGGTGATCCGAGTGCATGTTTTAATTCCGTCATCTATTTCAGCACCAATAGAAATAACACGTTCTGATTGGCTGCGCGGTGTTCTTCGACGCGGTGCCGAGATGGGGGTCGGAAATAACTGCAGAGTGCCGAGATCGCATGACAGAATTAACTATTCCTTGTTACATGTTGGGCATCATTTCTAATGCAGTCGCCAGGCGATATTGCATTATTATTATTACATATTATTTATTATTTTTACCGCAATAATGGAAGAGTTTTTACCTACCTCGTTTCGTAACGTGACTATTCATGAAAAGTGTATTCGAAGCGACATAAAAAGTGAAGAAGATTTGCGCCAATGGGTACAAGAATACAGTGTATTGAGCAAAACAAACTGGAACGTTAAAAAGTGCATAAGGTCGAATAGGTTTGTGGTTAGGTATGGTATTATTATTATGATTCAAATGATAATTGTTTTTTAAAGGGTGCATCAAATTCGATGTCCTCTATTAGTACAGTGACAAAAATATTTGTCAGTTTAAGGAGCTGTATTCATTTCATTTATGCCCGATCTAAAGAAAAGTACGTGAACCTTTGATAATGTTCATGTTCTTTAGTCATGCGCACTTGTGTGCCGTTGTTCATATTATGTCTAGTAATAGCAAACCAATAGAAGCGTAGTGCGATTGTTCTGATGCAGCATAAGTTAAATTTGAATACACCATTTTTAAAAATAAAAGTAACATTTATTGCAGTATTAGGTGTGCGTTATTTTTCAGAATGATTTACCTATGTCATCATACAAATTATAAAAGAATAGATCCCAAAAGTAATAAACGAGGGCGGTCCAAAAATTGTTCGTGTCCTGCAGAAATGCATATTAAAATAAAATGTACCACCAGAGATACTATGAAAAAAGATGCTCATGTTAAGGTAAACATATAGCGTGCGGGGGACTCGGCTGCTTCTTTTTGTTTACATTAAACCTTGTTGAATATTTTTTTTTTTTAAGGATGGGTTGCCAGGTCAAATAGATTTTAAACATGAGCACAATCACTCGGAAACTTCCGAATCATTTTCCTACCTACGACCATCACAAAATGTTAAAGAAATATTTGAAGGATATTTTAGCGATGGACTTGGAGTCAAAGAATCAATTAACTTGCATGAGTCTAAATTGGAATTGGAAGAAGGGGAAAATTCAGTGACCATCGCTTGTGCTTCAATGAATCCACCAAAACATACAGTTTATGATTGGTATCGAAAGTGGAGAACTTCTCATTTAGGGCCAAGAACTGGACCAGGTATTATTGAAGTAAGTGATTCAAGTGGTTATAATGAGCTCTATGGTAATAGGAAAAATTTCAGGTTCTTCAACAAAAACATAATATATATAAAGAACAAGGAATAATAGTAGAAATACAAGAGGAACCATTTGCAATTTTAATAATTACTCCTATAATGCAAAGAGCACACAATTTGCCATTTGCTAAAGATATTGCATTTATGGACAGCACGTCTTCTTGCGACTCGGAAAGTCATACAGTGACATTCCTTTTGACTTTTTGTCATATAGGAGCAGTGCCTCTCGCTGTAATTATAACAAAAGGCCAGCGTACAGAGGATTATGTAGCTGGTTGTAGTTTACTGAAACGTGTAATGCCGGCAGCATTTTGCTCCCAACAATATCCGAAAATAATAATTACGGACGACAGTGAATCAGAGAGGCAAGCTATAGCTTTGGTTTGGCCAGATTCAAAAGCCCTATTATGCCGATTTCACGTTTGTCAGTCTGTCTGGCGCTGGCTGTGTGATAAGAACAACGACATACTGAAAGAACATAGACAAATTTTATACAAACTATTCAAGGATATCCTAACAGCAGCATCAGAGTCCACTGCATTTGAAGCTTATTGCCTTTGTATGGGAGATACTGGTGTTCAAGAATTCAATGTGGTTGTTTCACGTTATCCAAAGTGGAAAACATATATTTCTAATTATTGGAAGAGACGAGAGGATTGGTCGCTTGCCTTTAGAAGCCCTTTGACACATGGACATCAGACTAATAATTTCAGTGAAGTTAACGTCAGAATTTTTAAAGACATTGTCTTATTAAGGAATAAAGCTTACAATGCAGTTTCCTTGGTAGATTTCGTCTGTACAGGTATGGAGACTTATTATAAAAGAAGACTTCGCGATTATTCCAATAACAGACAAGTAAGAACAGCCCTACTTTTGAGATCACAGTTGCTGAAATGTTCGTATTTAAAAAAAGAAGATATAAGGTTGGAAGCAAATTGTTACAAGGTGCCGAGCGAGAGTAATCCAGAAATAATGTACGATGTTCAAGTTGCCCTGGGGTTCTGCTCTTGCGAAATGGGGAGATTAGGAAAGTTTTGCAAACATCAAGCGGGAGTATATAATCATTTTCAAGAAAATTTTCCCAATTCACCCGCTATAACTGCAGAATCAAAATATTTAATGGCTAAACTAGCCTTTGGCGAAAAAAATGTAATGCCACTTACATTCTATGACTCATTAAGAGCAACAGAAACGCCATCCACATCTGCTTTGGAATCTGCATTCATACCGGATAATCAGAGAATCGCAGATATAGAATCACAGCCAATTAGTACTAGTACTATGTCAAATCCAGAAGAAAACAACAACGATTGTTCCAAAACAGAATTCGCAGAATTTATGACTTTATTACAGAGTCACCATAATACGCATGGCACTTCTTCAAAGATAATAAATCTTTGCATGCAACGCGTAAAGAAAATTTCGACTCGCACGGCTTGGGATTCTTACCTAGCTACTGCTGGTAGTTATTTACCCAGAAAACATACATCTAAGGCTGCAATTAGAGTACAACCTACGACAATAAGCCGAAGAAAAACTTTAATTCAAGGAACAAAACGTTTGGCAGGTGGCCGGCCTTCGAAAGAGTCATTAAAACGAAGAAAAATCAAAAGACCTCGAAATTTACAGTTAAATGTTGACCACAATGTCCCAAACGCCATCGGTCATTAATTTGTTTCATCGTTTTCTATATCCTGATATTTTTTGTGCCAGATACTACTCTAATAACTGAATAAAAAAAATCTAAGCATGTTTAAAATTCCTGTTCCAATAAAATTTGCTATATCCTGATATTTTTTGTGCCATGTAGGTACTACCTACCTTAATAATTGAATAAGAAAAGTCTAAAAATATTTTCATTCCCTGTTTCAATAAAATTCACCTTTGCCTTTGTTTTAATTCTATCCGCTGTTTCGGCACTCTGCAGTTATTTCCGACCCCCATCTCAGCACCGCGTCAAAGAGCCCCGCGCAACCAATCAGAACGTGTTATTTCTAATATGGTGCCGAAATAGATGACGGAATTAAAACATGCGATCCGAGTGGTCGGGTATTTTACCTCCGGAATATTTTGATCCTGGAGGCGCCATCATGCTATCTGTTACTCATTGTTGGAACCGGACTGCCAGCGCAGTAGCGGAACGTGGTGATACCACTTAGCGCTACTCAATTCTGGCATGGTGGTATCTCACCTGTCGACGCCCAATGAGTAAAAAGCGTCTACCACCTAAGCGTCTGCTATCTATTATCTATCAATTATATCAAACACAACACTACCTTATAATATTATTATTGAGTAGCTGGTATAATTATTGATAGATGGCGCACTATCCGCATAAAAGCTACAGTGACTTTATACAAGACAGTGGCGACAATAGGAACCTTGATAGGGCCCACCCGCCATGTTTTGTCAAAACAAAATTGCATAAAACTCCATAGGATTAAATGATAAAAACAAATTCCTTTTGTCAAAACATGGCGGATGAACTACGTAATTCTGAGAACCAATCAAAAATGAGACAACCCACTGTCGCCACTGTCTTGTATAAAGTCACTGTAATAAATGCACCTGCAAGGTAAAGTTTTGTTTGAGTGACGTTTGAATTTATTTCAGGGACCTAGGGGCCCCTTTTGTGAAAATAGCCCCGGGCCCCAAAATACCTTAATACGACCCTGAGCGAGAATGGCAGTGAAAGCAACAGCGACACCAGTAGCTATACACTTGGAGCGAAAGCGATAGCTACGATGACAGCGAAAGCGATAACCAACCCTCCTAATTGTATTGAAAAATAAAGACGCCGATCTAATTTGTTGTCTTATTAATTTTTTTTATTCCACAGACGGAAATAGATACCTACCATCTGAAATTAAAAAATCGTTTTTAAGACCAATTTATAAATCGGAAAATTGGAGCATAATGAATACCTAATTACCGACCCATAAGCCTAATAAGCAATGTAGCAAAATAATTTGAAAAATGTATTAAGGACAGATTGTGGCTATTTAGGGGCGAATAACTTAATGCCAAAAAATCGGTTTGATTTTACTATGGGGGGTTTAATTACAGTGATGCTATGCACGAACTAATATTCCATATAACCAGTCTCGAAACCACTGGATATAATAGGTACCTGACTATTACTATTTACCCTGATAAATGCACACCAGAGCTTCTATTTAAAAAAAAAACAAAAACTTAAGACCACGGATGGTTAATATGATTTATTAAAACATACTAGTTACTACATTTTCAATGATTTATATTATTCTGAAAAAGATAACATAATAACACATTATTTATTAAGCAATAGCAATAATACTTGAAGAAATCATCGAAGTGGTCTCTTCATTGAAACTGGAAGGATCTGAAAAAAAAAAGAAATAGGTAGTACAAAACATAAACATTGCGACTCTCTTATTGAACTATATTTTCAAAAATTAAAAAGTACCTATAACTTTGTGTATAAAAATAACATAAATTATAAAAGTTTTTGTTGATTCAGCAATTGGTTTCTCTGTGAATCATAATTATTAATAGTTGGAGAATATACTCTAGAAAATTATAGTTAGATGAATCGATAAGAAAGGCCTAACAAACCAAAACAATTGTATAATTTTTTTTTAAACAACTACTAAACATTTCTTACCGCAACCTCCTATTTCTTGCTTCCAGCACTTCTGGAATGATCATATTCCGGATTGTTCGGATTCTTTTGGTTACTGCGATTATCCAAATCTTTCTGGGTCGGTGGATTGCCAGTCGAGCCAGAAGTCGCCCTTTTTAAAGAAAAATAAATGAGAACATTTTAAACAAAATTATTGAAATAAAAATTATTTACCAGTCACTTGGACGTCCGTCCATGCCTCTGCTTGAATAGAATTTATCGTTGTTGGTGTTCAATTGATCAGAACGGTTGTCCAAATTTTTTTGGTTTCCAGACATTTTTATTTCTGTTTTCTAAACAATTCAACTTGGAACTCAACAAAAATAATGTTGGAAATTAAGGGTTCCGCGAGTATTTATAAGATAGATTGAATGGAAGGGGCCACTTGTGTCAGTGGAAAACTCTAAATATTGTATAAACCTTAACTAGAAATCATATCGTCTTTGTTGTACTCATTGATAATTTTCAGTTACAGCCTGAGAGCGATAGCAATTCTTAAAGCTTGATAGTGCATTTCTCGGTGATTCCCCTATTTTCGAAATGGTATACCGCGAATTGCAATTTTTTGCTGACACGTGTAGGTGTGGAAGAAAAGCAGGATTGCTCTTGACCTTGTTGTTGTTTGTGCACTTTTGGTAATAAAATAAACAACGATAACACATTATAAGTTAGCGAAATTGTAACTTAATTTTTTAATAAAATTTCAACTAAAATTTACTAGAAAATTTCTTTATTAAATGTTAGAAGGGATCAAGGAGAAATTTAGAATTAAGTAAACTATATAACTGCAAATTGAAGAGCTGATTCTTAAAAAATAGTAGTTTTTACACTTATACGCGCTCTAAACGAGCCATCATGGACATCATGCGAAAGTGAAAACGATTACCTTCCGTATAGTGTACAAGTACAATAATTTATATGTTAATCATCCTTGGAAGAAAATTTCTTCGAGAAATAGGTATAAAAGTCTTGGTGTTTTACATTCATGCAGGCCTGTTCCTGTTAGCGAGCTGTGATTTATTTTTGGTTCTGCGGGTGGGTGACAAAAATCAAAAATGTATGTTGGTACCTACATACAATCAGAAAAAACACGTTTCGTAGACTCAGTTTGAACGACTGTAATTTTACAGAAACCCACGATTAAAGAAAGTTGCATTTTGGAGCATTTTCCGGAAAAGTTACAGACTTTGTTCTATTAGAATGTTACAAGACGAGATGCTACAGTGAATAATTGTCAAATACCCTAATATATTTATTGCATAACGATTATTCTTATTGATACAAAGTACCATTTTAGAACTTGAGGGTTCGTTTTTCAACGAATTGGCCGGCTTTTCAAAAAACATACACACGCAAATAGTTTTATTTCCTCTTATCATTAAAAAATATCTATTGAACAAGCAATTAAATTTTGCCATTTTGTTGATAGGTAGGTAGGTACCTATGAAATTAGTTATAAATTAATAAAAGTCAAGTACCTAGTATATAGAAACGAGAACCCACCAATACTTGTTTAAGTATATATATTAGGATAAGAACCAACATACTCTAACTCTATATACCTATACATATAGTGAATTTTATTCAATGAAAATCCTTTGTATTGGTTTTTGCTATTGCTGCACAAGTGCACTGATGGGAACAGAGCCGTAGCGATATGACTATCCCTAGGGGGAAGACTGAGATCCGGCGCCCCCTAAGCGCCGCGAAGGCAATCCAAAGGTGAAGAAAAATTTATCGGTGACCACACCCAAATTTTGCCAATTTTAAGTAAATATGGGTAAATTTCATTCAATGAAAAATTAGATCAAAATGTTGTATCACTAAAGGCGGGTATTATAAAACTATTCTGACTTATAACTCAAATAGTTAACTTCTGGAATTGCAATGAGAAGTACCTAACGTCATTTCTGTAATTCCTGAAGTTAACTTGCAGTTATTCTGTCAAAATAGTTTTATAATAGGCAATTTTCCGTGAGGATAACCAAGCACAAACTTCTGCTGGATTATGTGATGTGTTATTTGTGTCATACTGCCCTAACTCCCCCACCAACAAATTCTGGGATACTCAAGGATCAAGAACACTTAATTCCTTCTGTGAGAATAAACCGAAAATCACCTTTTCCACATTTGAAATTGACGAAAAAATTAACTCACTCGCACAGCCTGAATCGCAAGCATTCCATCGAGGTCTGCGGGTGACCTCATCATTATAAGCTGCTGGTAGTGACATCACTCGCAGGCTCAGAATTTGATGGAGAGGGAGTTAGGGGAGTATGACACAATTGACACATCACCATTATCCCGCATACTCGAGTATGCTTGATTATCCTCGTGAAATATTGCCTAATATTCGCCCTAAAAGCCTAACTTATGTATTGAATGAGACTCTATCTATTGCCAATTCGATTTCCTGATTTTCTTAGATAGTTCCAGGTGAAAATAATGAAGTGTATATTGTAGATTTTCAAAATAAAATTGATTTGACTGCAACCCCACGGAAAGAAATAATGACGTCAAAAGCTATATTTTACATAAAATCGCATAACTCATGATAAAATCGTAGCGGGCTGCGAAATTCAAAAAATCTCAAAAACGTCCCGAGGTACTAAGGTACTCTTCTAAACTGAATACCAAAAATCTACTTAACCCTTCCTCCAGCAAAATCGGGTGAACCCAAACTTTCGCAAAAAAATCCCCAACTTATGTTTTACCTTGTATCTTTTTAAAAACTGTACTAGCATTTTTTTTTTATAAACAAAATGTTCACTTTTAGAATGAAATAAGTAAACAGTTTGTTAATGTATGGCTAATTTTTCGTGGAAATTCGTGATGTTATTTCTGAATGTCGCATGAGAGCGCCTAACAGAGAATTTGTTTAAGAAAAACTTAAATCGGTGCTATTTTGAAAACCGTAAGACTTGGTACTAAGGTAAGTTTGACAAAATCGGTTCTAAATGACTCACTATATCACCTCCTAAAATATATGCATCGACCTACCAAACACCCTGTATATAATTCATTTTCTTCTTCTGCTGGCACTTTGTGCTGTGTGGAAATCGATAAATCTGTTTGATTCTGATGCTCTTTTTCAAATTCGCAGAATGAAATAGATTCTTTAGAATCTGACAAACGTATTTATATCTTTATCTGATTTGTGGTCCTCAGTTTTAGTTTCGATTGCATAATCAGTTGAAGCAGGTTTTGATAATTTTTTGTTATTATTATTATATTCATACGCATATAATCTGTGGTGAAAAAGTTTTTCCTTTTTTTTGGGTTTTTTCCATTTTTCTAGTGGAACCAGATTATCGATATCCATCGCGTTTTCAATGCTTTTTTGATTTATCGTTCTCTTTTGAATTGAATTTTGTGTGTTTTTTTTCCAATGGAAAATTCTATTGTCTTTAGATTTGATTAAATCCTCCTTTGAATTTCACATATAAAACGTCCCAATTTCAGATTAGGTTTTTTCAACAAAATTTCATGTTTGACTGATGCACAGCGGCAAATTAGGTACTAGTTTTCTTGCCTTTAATAACTTGGCAAAAGAATTCCATGTACCTATTATAGTGGAGTAAAATCACAATGAAATTATAACCTTGAGTGATTCCGAGGTATGTATAACCAGATGAAACCTATACCATCTTGTAGAGGACACTTTGGGGCATAGGAAATTGGAATGTACAACTTTTTTTAATAGGACTGAACTTTGAAATCGGCCCTTAAACGTGACTGAGCTTCAATTTGAAAAACTACATTTTTCTAAACATTACCCGCTGTATTATAATTTAAGCATACAATCTAAATTCTGATTTTTTGCACACTTATACTTGAAGCATGAGCTCTTCTAATGACAGTTCAGAAATTTCGAAAAGGTACAAGGTTTTTTTGTTAAAAAGTTAGGAATATAGAATTATCAAAATCGTGCATCTAAAATTTCATCCTGCGGCGAACAATGTGAATTATTGAAAATTTCTATACATGTATATCGAATCAAATGTAGTAAAAACATTGACGAAGTTTTTAAAAAAATAATTAAGTCGATAACTTTAACGGTTATAGACATATACATTTTTATCCGGGAGCTTTGAAATGCGCTCTCATATGCTGAAAGCGGCTAGCGGCTACCATTCTGGAAATCATCTGCGTTAGTGCGTTAGCGTTACATCTAAAAATAAAATAAAAAAACCTATAAACATAAAGTAAGTGATTGAATCGTTTTTTATGAAGTTTACTTTAAATATTTTCTTCTTCGTCATCCTCATATAAATCAGAAACATTATTTTGACATAATTTATCTTCGCAGAAGATATCCATTAGTTGCCTTGTATCCGTTGGTATGGGATCAGCAGTCATCAAAACAGGATCAAGAATTCCAATATTCCTAGTCCAACCAAAGTTAAGAGGGTCAAGTATAGGTATAATAGGTATATGACTGGACATCCCTATACGCAGACCGCAGTTGATATATGCACCTGAAATTTTGGTTATGGCATAAATACAGCTTCTTTTGTTATATAAGTACACCGAGCTCAGTACACGCTGGTAAAATGCATCATCTGTGAGTGGAAGTTCTGAAGCGGACTTATTGGAAGTTGTGGTCAATTGATACCTCAATTCATCGAGGGTTTTCTTATTTTTGAATAGGGCCGACGCAAATTTGGTGGCAATATTAACAGCTTCGCTTGTAGACACAGAGTTCAGTTTTGATAACTCATTGAAGGCTCCAAGGTTTTTAAAAAATAAATTTTTTGCCGATCTTAAACATTGCATTTGTGGTATCGCATCCTGTTGACACATGCAACGCTGGTAAACATTTACAAACTTCATTTTCCAGTTTCTGCACTATTTATTGTAATGATGCGTTTTTTATTCCCTTGTCCTAATTCCATAAAAAGGTAGGTTTCTTCCAAAGAATTTACTTCAATAAATTCAAAATAGTGGTAAATAAGTAATACCAGAACATTTGTATCTACGGACTTCACCAACACTTTATTTTTGGTGAAGTATCTGATATTCATATTAGACGTGGATGATAAGTCGTGCATCAGCCTCATCATGATTCGATTTTAAATCTTTCAATCCATCGACACCATCCGTGTTGACAACTCCGGATTTTCGAAACCACCAGCGATGATCAGAATTTCTTCTATTTGTCAGCTAAATGTTCCATAATAAAACCAGTTACAAATTTCAATAGGAATTCTTTATTTTCTGACAATTTTAAAAAATTCCTAAACTTCATCACTTTTCTCTTTCCAGAAACTTCATACGCATCTGCGAAGTTACACTTCTTCTGCGTCTTTCCAAAGACTTGACCGATTCATCCATCAAAAACCACCGTTATC